TATTAACTATTTAGGGTGAGATATTAGTTTTAACTTAGAAAAAACTTTAAAATTTTATACTGTTTCATTATTAATAACATTATTCAACCATACATTTTAGTCTCACTAGATTTTAAGCTGAAGCATTATCTTGCATTACTGTTCTACCTAATTTTAATCTCTATTGCTTCATGGCTTGTACCAAGGATGTGTTTGGCTTTGATCGGTCAAAACACTGATCTCTCCTGTTTCATTTATTTCTCTTAAACCAGACATACTCTAAATATTACTCTCCCCTCCCATATATTTCCCTTAAACCAAAAATATTCTAAATATTAAACTCCGAATTTCTTTTTAATGCAGTCTTTGTAATAGATTTTATTAACTCACAAATAAACATATAAACTCAATAAACTCAAGCTCAACTCCCTTTTTTTCCATAAAAACCACCAAAAAGGGAGTACTATAACTTGAAAATACTCAGAGAAATTGCAGACTCTTAACTTCAAAAAAGAGAGTGCCATAACTTGAAAAAGCAAGATCCCTAAAATACAAAAATGAAGTCTGCTGCAATATGAAAACCACCTGGGACAACGAAAAGAAGACAGAATTCCTCAGCAATATCATCAAAATCCTTCACATTTGGAAGAAACCCAGAAATAAAAAATGAAAAAGAGCCTTTCCAGAAAGAGGCCATTACAATGAAAAGATTAAAAAGAGAGCATGAATGAGATAGTGTAACATTGTTCCCTCCTAAATAAACAACAGGAGAATCTGATGGGCCATGAGCGACAAATTCATGACAAATATATACAGTGGCATTATTTAGAAATATGACAAATACACCACCAAGCACAACACAATAAAACTGAACCACTTGTCTAGCCTCTCAACATGCCATTGAGAACCACTGTGTCTACTTCAGCATCATCTGTAATCTGGAGTGCTGAAACAGCCTGTGCTGCAAATACACCAGCTGAAAGTCCTGCAGTATCCCAAGCTCCATCATCATAATATGGCGCATGTAGTAGATCCCTTCCATAAGGTCCATAGGCAAAGGACCAGTCATTGTTTCCCATGTCAGCCCACTTGCTCCCGGGTGCATATGTATTAGACACCCACCTTGTGCAGTTTGTGGGAGCCTGATGGGAATGGTATGCTCTCCCCCCACCCATAAATAGGTCAATATTATGAGCACATTCCCAGTGGTTGAAATCCTCTTCCTTGTTTAGCACAATCTTACATGAGCCATCCGAGTCTTCACCAAGCAGAACATGCAGAGCAACAGCCTCAGCAATTGCAGCACCCTCCTCATCAAGCCTTTGCTGTTCTTCCTTCTTTTTCTGTTTCTTCTTTTCTAATTCAGAACGAATGGCAGCAGAAGTAGCCAGGGCTTTCTCCAAGCGCCTCTTTTTCTTCTCTGCCTGTTTGATGCGATCCAATTCATCCTTTACCTGTTTCTTTTTTGGTTTTCTCACAACTGGTTGCACTTTATTACATGCCTTGTGATCCATGAAAACTAAGCAGGCCTAAACAAAAACTCCTCTGCTCAAATTTTTGCTTGAAACAGTGACTTTTTCTAAAAAGTATACATTTCCCTATATAGCTTTCTTTTCTTCCCTTTTCCTTTAAGTTAATTTAACTTTAACACTAAATATTTCTAATTTTGTTTTGAGAACTAGTATACTGTTATAACACCAAGACTACACCCACTCAGGTTTGTAGGAGGAGTATCTCATCCTACGAACAACACAATCCCAAACAGAAACAAAAGGGGAACACAGAAGAGCAAAACTGTAGGCACTCACAGGTCCATCCCTTGGTAGGATTCGTCCTAATTTCCCACAACCCTTGCATTTACCCATCTAGAGCACACCAAGAAAGCCAACAACCCTATGGAAGCTGCAAACCAATCACAATGGTCCAGTTCAAACAGCTCACATGGCCCTCCTGCTATGTTAAAGAGGAGAAATCAGTATCTAAATCATCAAATGTTACAATCAAGCACCCAGACTACAAAAAACACGTTCATAAAGTAACAGCAGAAACATTTTAAACTAAGATAATCAGACTATCAGAGACCATTTAGAGTTATCATTATTCATTACGAAATAAAGCTCTCAATAAACCAATCCAGTAATCAATAGAATCACAACCCAATTACCAAATAGCAGACAGAGAGAAAAAGCCCCAATTAACAATCTGCCTAAGCGCTAACAAATAGCAGGCTAGCAGCAGACCTCTTACAGCAATCTAATCCTCCAAAACATCTTCCTAATTCGAAAAACAATAACCATTGCATAAGACAGCTTCAATCGACAAACTTCCTTATGAGGCCAAGTGACATCGAATTTCGATTTCATCTTCTTCCTCTTTCCTCGAATTTCACGACAAAAAAGACGAAATTATAAACCTAGATCTGTTTCGTTGGGAACACTAGAAACCCTAATTCAACTCAATTTCTAGTTGAACAATTGCTCTGACCTAGTCGACTCGGTCAATCCAAAAACCAAAAAAAAAAAGAAAAAAAGAAAAAAAAAAGATTCAAACCAAATCCATCACCTAATCTGTATCAGATCCAAAAACTCACTAATCCAAAACCACAAATCGTGAAAAAAATTCAACCAAAAAAACAAAGAAACGGATGAAATCGAACATTACCGGAAAGCAAAAAAACCACTCGTACTCCCCGTAGCACTGCAAATCAGAGAATCCAAGCCAAGAATAAGGTCGTGACTTCAAAGATATGCTGTTTGGGATCTGAGAAAACGGAGAGAAAAAGCACAAAATGAAGGGAAGAAGAAAGATTAAGCAACTGATCACATGAGAGAGAGAGAGAGAGAGAGAGAGAGAGAGGTGACGAAGAAGGGAAGGGTAAGGGGGGGCGGGGGTATGTATCTGTAGCCAATGGAATTGTGACACGTGTCGAATGATTTTTAAGGGTAAATCTAGAATCTGATATTTCTTCTGGGAGTTTTGTTTCGGGAAGCTGGGGAGGGCCTTTTGTGGCAGCCATGCGTCATGCCACGTGGTGAGTTGCTTCTCGAATAGATTAGTTTCATTCAAGTGGGCCCAGTTGAAGAGGAGGGTTTCGACCGTGGGATTGGATCTCTTTGATTTTTAGCGGTCTAGATTTCAGATCTAAATGTAGCACGCCATCGGAATATGGGAGTTTCGTGTGGAACAATTTCAAGGGTACAACGGTAAAAATGAAATTTTTTTTCTTTTTTCTAATTTTATTTGAGAAAATGTATAGGTAAGAAGTAAATTTTGTTTTTTTTATTTAAAATATGAATTTTTAAAAATTTTAAATTATGTGCTAAATTTTAGATGAAATGGTAAAAATTTAAATTTAATTTTTTATCAATTTTTTAAAGAAAAGTACATATAAAGATATAAAATTTATATTTTTTATTTAATAATTTAAGTTTTTTGAGTTTTTAAATCAATATCAAAATCTTTTTTTCTAAATAAGGATATATGCTTTATCTTTTTTATTTAAAAATTTATTAGATAACAATGATGATGTGGTAAATAGTAATTTTAATTTAAATAAGGTAAGATTTATATCTTTAAGTAGAAAAAAAGGATAAAATTTTTATTCTTAAAATGAAAAAAAAAAGGAAAATTTATTTCCTTAAATTAAAAAAGTAAAAGATTATTACCTATTTAAAAACCTAAAGATTTTATATTCTTAAATAAGAAAAATGAAAAAATTTACATTCTTATCTAAATATTCTCTTTTTTTAAGAAAAATCTGAGTAAGGATATAAATTTTGTTATTCTTTTATTTAATAATATGCACTTTTGAAGTTTTGAATCAATAATAAACTTTCATTTTTTTCTCTAAGAAAAGTAAAAACTTACTACTTATATAAAAAGTTGAAAATTTTATATTTTTGAATAAAAAAATATCTTATCTTTATCTAAACATTTTCTTAATTTTATTTGAACTTAGTGAAAAAACTCAAGTTGCCCTAAAAAAATTGGGATGACTTAAATTAAGATTTCAAATTAGAGATTTCAAGTTCAATCTTTTATTAAAAATTA